GGAGTATTTCACCAGACTTCTGAGAACAGGCTGGTGAGCTGCCTGCAAAGGTTAAATGACCTGCATGGCAGGAATTGTGTAAGAATCCCTGCACAATCATTAATGGCCTTTCTGCGTAGATGGGTTGTGTGAAGGGAAGTCCACCTGGCAGAGTCACTGCCCCTGGCTCTCTTCTCTGTTGCCCTGTCATTGATGATAGTCCAGAATAACTGAGGCGTGTGGTGGAAAATAGACTCTCTGAATGACTCCAGTGCTCTGAACCTCTCATGTGTTTATGCTGCTCTGTCCTCACTGGCTGGGGCAGCAACAATAAAACGTGGCTGCAGATCATTCACAAAAACATCATCAAGAGGCAGTCCTCTCTTCCCTGTCCTCACCTCCTTACTGCCCTTTTCTCTTCACCTCCTTTTTCCCCTCTGTTCTTTGTCCTCACCTCCTCCCTCCCTCCTGCTTTGTTCTCAGTCCTGGGACTGAAGACCAGCTGGAGATCTGACCTGCTGATAGGTGAGCTGCTCCAGCCCACCTCCCACCCTGCAGGGGCTTTCTGTGTATCTCAGGATCACCTTTCTTATTCCCACTGGTCAAAAGGAAATGTCACCACTTGCTTGCCCCATGCACACTCCTGGTTTTCTGCTTTTAATTTGTTGAAGTACCTTGGTTCATGACTGGTGTTAATGTACAACCCCCTCATCACGTCCTACTGCCTACATGAGTCCTGTTCCACCCTGCTACCACCCAAAACTGCTCCCTTGTTTATTCACTTCTCCACTCATCTCAGCAATTTTACAATTTTCTGAGTCATTTGGCATAGATGGAGTTGTGTTGGAGGCTGAATGAAGGACTTACTCTGCCACACCAGCCAATGCAGGGTAAAATCTGCCTGGTGTTGGACAGCAGTTAATGTGAAATAGCTGTGGGAAGTAATTGTGCCTGTGGATCACCAGGCACAGCTGTGTAGTGTTTGGTACAGAGGTGAAAGTACCTGCACAGCTGTAAATAAACTGTGTGTGAGGTTCTCTTCACCAACATCCAACATCCCAATGACTCTGCACCAGGCATGCAGTTAGTCAAGTATTTGCAGTGGCCAAGGCTGATGGGGAATAGAGCTAAACACAAAGTAGCTTGTGAATCTGGGAATTATCCCACCAGTGTGTTGAAACCCACTGGAATCTCCCTTGGCATCATGCTTTGAGGTGCCTGTGTGTGATCTGCAGGCACGTGGTGTCAGAGGGCCACGCTTCAACCCAGGCACAGTTAACATTTTCTAAGTGAGACATTTTGCCTGCCTTTGTCCTCCCTCAGATCTTGGTAGGTCTCTCCATCCTTGCTCCCTAAATAGTTGCTCTCATGAACGTGAAGTCCCAGCTGCAGCAGCATCTCAGGGTAATCAGGCACCTTGGAAGGCTCTAGACTGTGTTTTACCACACAGCAGTGAGATTTCAGGGTTATAAGAGAGAAAGATTTGTATTCAGTACATCAAACCTCAAAAAATATCCATTAGGAAGTTCTATGACTGGAATAAATATCCCATAAATATAATGTGTTCAGTATGGTCTCACTATTTCCAAAGAGAAAGACAGAACCAGGGATGACCCAAAAAAGAATTGAAAGAAATCGTTGCTTCCCAGCTAGGGAGGGAGATGCTGGCTGTGCCTGTAATGCCACAGGTAGCACAGGGGAAACAAGTGGGGAAAATTGACTATTTTTTTCTAATAAAAGAGCCAGGAAAGGTTAAAAGAATTAAAATGGAGATGTGGCCTTACATGCTGTGTGCATAGCACTGGAACTCTTTTCACAAATATTGTGGATGCTACAAGATTAGATTTATTCAAGCAGCAACTAAACATGTTGGTGGAAGTGTCCTGCAAAGACCACTAAATGTGACAACACTGTGGCTGCCTGGGGCTGTCTCTGAGCTGCCCATCCTGCATGGCCTAAGGAAGACTATCACTGATCTTCTTTTTTAAGCTTTGCCACTGTTGGGGCCAAGACATCTTTGGCTTGACCACTCTTATAGTCTGAAATGGCCTCATTTCCTGATGGTTTCATCTCAACAGGGAACTGCCTCTCTCTGTGGCCTTCGCCACATCTCTGTGCTGACAAATGGGCTATAGTAAGATGATTCCATGGTTCAGTTTTAAAACACTTTTTGCTTCTTTGGGATAAAAGGCAAGGTACTTGCAGGAAACAGGGCTTAAAGGATAATGACATTAGAAAGATGCTTCTAGTAGGGGTGATCAACTGTGTATTTTCCTGACAGGCACAGCTCAACTGAGAGCCCTGCCCTAGAAGTGCCCAACATGCCCAAGCCTCAGTCATGTCAGGATCTTTTTAACCTGTTTAAAAGGGACAAAACTGTTTCTATGGGATGAGGATCCCATGCAATCTTTGGCTGATGAGCACTGTAATCCTCCTTGTATCATCACACAGCACTGCATCTTCCCATCCACCTTTCTTGGTGGGTTGGTATCTTCTTATCTGGGGTGTTTCCTACGGGGAGGTTTCTAGGCCCTGTTTTCAGTTCTCCCTTTCTGCCTCTCTTGCTGTGGCAAGGCTTGCTCCAAAATCATTCCTGTAGGGTTTATGATGCGAGAATTTGCCAGATGGATAATTTTGCTTGCTACCAAATGGTGTGTTTGATGGTTGCAGGGGTGACAGCTCCCTGCAGCCTGTGTTTGTTCTTCATCCATGTGCCTTTCAATTTGCACCAGCTCTTTGGTTGATGAAGTTTCAGTGCTCCCTGATCCAATGGTACACTTGCAGAGACCCCCACTTATCAGAGACCCACAGCTCTCCTCTCCTGAGTAGAAATGTGCTACTATCTTGTAAAGGTATAAATTATAAAGTCTTGTCTGTATAATGAGTCTGCATTCCTCAGATAAATTACAGACGCATAATGGCTTTGGCTTTTAGTTACCATTAATCTTAACTGGAAGGGAGTGCTGGATTTCTTGAAGAAGTGTGGGATTCAGATTTTTGAAAGGTTTTACTGGAGGCTTAGTCAAGCCATCCTCTGTTCCAACACCCCAGTGTGTGCACACTGCTGTCCACATTTGGCTCCCAGCTGGCTGGCAGGACATGTCCTCAGGGAGCAGCTGCTGTCCCAGGGCTGTGAGCATTTTGGGTCCCTGCTGGAGTGTTTTCCATGTCTGTCTTGTTAGCAGAGCACTTTGGGACAACTTGCTGTGCCCTGGATAACTGTGAAAAGACAGAGCCAGAGGCTATGGTTATTCAAGGCAAAGCATGGAAAAAGCTCAGCTCCAGCACAGCCCCGGCCTGTCAGTCAGTGGGAGAGGGAGACAATGGATGGGACAGCACATGGCTTCAGCCAGGCCGAGCAGGGAGCTGGGCTCTGCCCTGAGCCCTGCCCAGGTGACAGCGTGGCTGCTGCAGCCGGGCTCGGCCCAGAGGGAATCTCCTCCTGGGCGAGGCGCGGCCCCCTCACCTGCAGAGAGTCCCGGTCCCGTGAGGGACAGAACAAACTTGTCCTGGTTGCTCGTGTGCCAAGCATCACCCGCGTGCGAGAGGCTTCACAAGGTGTGGGAGCCTCCTTTGCCCAGATGTTCCCAGCAGGTGCTGGGCTGGAGCAGGGATGCAGCCCTGGGCTCTGGTGCAGCCTGAGGCAGCCTCGCAGCCCCTGCAGAGGTGGGATGGGCACAGGGGCTGCCCAAGGAATGGGGAGCAGCCCTGGCTCCCTCTGGGACAGGCCATGGCTTGCCCTGCTGCTCCTCCTGTGGCTCTGCCTGGCTCCTGCCTGGCTCTGGTTCAAGCTTTCTTCCTCGAGTCCTGTGTCAGGGAGGAGTTCAGTCTCAGTGGTGGTGTCACTAACCTCCCCACAAGGCTCATTCATGCTTTGGAAAATAGGATGGGAGAGAATATCTCCTCAGAAGCTTTAAAAACAGCATAAAAGGTGCTGCAAAGTAAGCAGTAGCCACACTGCTGGAGGTGTAACTGTGATAGGGTCAGAGCAAGGTGGGTAGTCCAGGAAAGAGAACTATTTTTAATGAGGTTAAGTATTCAGCTGTAAAATATCCATGCTTTTTAGTGCCCAGCACTTATTGAACTTACGTGAAGATGGGTCTGCATTCCCCAAAGCTGCTCACCTTCTGCAATCTGTATCAGTAATCTAACAACTGATTTTTTTCCTTCCTAGAAGCCTTTGTTTTACCTTTGGAGACTCTGCTTTGGGCTGTAAGTTTATCAGAGTCTTTCAGAGACAGGAGTTACAGTGAAATTCTGCAGACTGCTTCAGGTTTTCTTGTCACTTACAGGACTGCAAAGCTTTTCTCTAGAAAGAAGTTTAGATTTGGAAAAGTGCCTGTATCCCAGGAAACTTGAGTCATGCTGGCTGCCTCCCCCAGCACGAGCTGGGGCTGGCTGCTGCTGCACCTTGCTGGGGCTGTTGGGGTAAGGGACAGAGGAAGGGGCTGTGGAAGGACAGGGGAACACTCAGGAAAGGGCAGGGACAGATGGAGCTGTTCTTGCTTGTGCCAGTCCTGCTCCTGGCTCTGAAAACTCAACTGGCAGAGGTGTGGAGCAGTGCAAAGTCCCCTGCAGCACCTCTGGGTCTGGCTCCAGGTGCTCAGGCCTCAGCAGCACGCCACTGGGACTCTGTGGCTCTGCAGCTCCTCTTCTTCCTGACCTCCTGCTTGCCTGCTGGCACAGCATTCTGAGCATGAGGGAGGGCCAAGGACAGTGGGAAAGGGGCACTTCCCTACAGTTTGCCAAAAAAGTGATCTTGTATTACATGCTGGCTGCTTAGAGGAAGATGAGTCTTCAACTCCTCACTCACTTGGCCCCTTTTGCTGGGAAAGGAAGGGTCAAGTTGCAGCCCCTGTTGGGACCTGAAGGTGGGTCTGAAGGCACAGGCTAAGGTTTGTAGCTCTGGGGTTTTTACTTTGGCAGATGAACTTGTAGAAAATCATCTAAGGAAGCAGAACTGCCAAACAAAGGAAATAACAATATATTCTTTTTGTGTGTGTTTTTGTTTTCCCCTGCAGTAACCACAACTCTCTCCTCCTGGTCCGGGCATGCCAGAAAATGCAACGAAACAGCCAAGTCCTATTGTGTCAATGGAGGGGTGTGCTACTACATCGAGGGGATTAATCAGCTGTCATGCAAGTAAGTGAGTGGAGTTCTTGTGTCAATATGGAAATTTCTTGGCTGAGGGAGAGGAGACCTTTGTGCAACTGCCACAGTTCGGGGGAGCTCTGAAATTCTCCTGGCAATTGCAGTTTGAGCTGTGCAGGTTCAGAAAGGGGCACTAGAGGGGCAAGGGTGGGGGGGGCAAGGATTTGTATTTTCCTTTTTTGTGTGCGTGTCACTGTTCACTTTTCCTGGCTTTTCTCCCTCTAAGAATATGTTTGTCCTGGCTGTTTCTTTTCCCTTTCTTCCCTTTCTCCTCTGCAGCTGCAAGGAAATTTGGGTCCCTTTTGCTGTCCCTGAGCTGACACATCCTATCCCCGAGTCAGGGAGGCTTTCAGGGGCACAGCCTCCTCCCTCCCCATGACTGGAGGGGTCCCTTGCTGAGAGCTGCCCCGACCTCTCCTGTATCTCATGGGCCCAGGGTTAACCCCCAGCTGTTCCCCTCTCTGTGCAGCTTTGTGGCCACTGTGGGATTTTTGTTTCCCCCTTCAAACCTGCAAGAAAAACTAGAGACGTGTACTAAGTTACACTTGAAATGAGCCTTGAAGAGTTTGAAGTAGGGCTGCACAGCCTGAGGGATGTGGAATGGGATGTGAGACTTTTCCACCCCTGGTTTAGAGCCAGAAAGCCCAATAGCATCTCACACCTCACCCCCCAAGCCTGAGTGCCTATGGACAAGCTGTGCAGTCTGATTGCCAGTGCTAGAGGTGCAGGTACCCAGAGCTCACCTGCCTCTGGGCTCCTGCCCTGGGTGTGCATTCACTGAGCAGATGGAATCCTCTTGTGAGCTCACCTGGTGATCCAGGCATCACTGCCCAGCTCAGAGAAGCCCAGAGCTGATAATTTTCTCCCTTTGGAACCCAGAGACCTCTCAGTGGAGACATAGCCAAAGGTATTTACATCTGCAAATGTCAGCCCAGCAGCATTGCAGGATGTGATGCTATCAGGTACCTCAGCTCCTCAGGCCTTGGAGGATGCACTGAACACAACCCTCCGCCCCCATGGAAAGCCTGGAAGGGCTGGATCACACTGAGCATATCTCCTCCTTTGTCCCAGTACTCTTTTGATTCTGCAGGAGCAGCAGAAAAGGCCATGTGGAAATGCATCCTGTTGAGCTCTTGTGCTCTGGCTTCCAGTGCAGCTGTGGTGGAAGGAGCATCTCCCAGTTCTCCCAAAGAGCTGGGCAGGACAGAAACCAGCAGCTGTGGCTTCCATGTTTCCCACACCTGTGTGGAGTGGAGCAGCCCTTTTCCACCCAGCCTTGTGCTTTAGTGTAGCTGTCACTGCTGTTGGTTTCTTGGTGGCACTGTGGACTCTTCTTGTCAGTGTTCCCCACAGGAAACATGGGGGAAGCCCCATTTGATGGCTAAAGTCACAGCCACCATTCTGGGGTAGCTGTAGCCCAGGAAGCCCCAGAAATTCCAGTCTTGTTCTGGGAAGGGCTGAACCCTTGAAGTGTGGAGGGGTGTATGAATCAATATCTGTAAGCAATGTGGTCATGGCAGAGGCACAGATTTCAAGGCTGTTTCTTTTGGGAAGAACCTAAATGCAGATGAAGATTGAAATGGGATCAATTTCTAATTACAACAAGAGTTACATGAACTCCTACCATGCATCAGAATCACTTTTTCCTAATGAAGAATACTGTGGTAGTTGTCAAATGTCTGCAGCAGACAGACTGTTTTAACCAAAGCAATTCCAGCCTACCTTCCAACCAGGCTGCTCTGACAGATGATGAACAGAGGGAATGCTCAGTGATGGATTCCATTAAGATTTTATGTGCCACACCAAACAGACCTGATTATTTCATATCATTTAAAAGCCTGAATTCCTCACTTTGAAGATGGTAAAATGATATCCTTTCCTGATGAGTTCCAAGGTACCAATTGCTAAAACCAGATGGGAACTGAACAGGGCAGGAAAGTGTTACCCAGAAGGAGGTGCTGGGAAGGTCTGCACTGTCACTGCTTATCTGCCAGAAAAGGTGGCCTCATGTTCACAGAAACCCGGGGAGCTGAGTGCCTTCCACACAGCAGTCACCTCTGATCTTACTGATTCAGGAGATCCCTGGATGCTCATTCTCCTTGGGTGTTTTTATCATTAAATCTCAGACTGAAGATAAGAAAACGTGGCTTTTGAAGTGGTGCAATATTAGAGTTTCTGGATTCTAGAGGATAATAACTTTTGAGGAATGCAGAAGCATTTGAACTGCAAAGTGTTTCCCCTAAAATGGCTCTCCCAATGACAAGGGAAGATGCTGATGAATAAACAGACTTCACCTTTGCCTGCAAACAAAGAGTTGATATGTTCCACGATTCCTCATTGCATCAGGACAGATCTGCTGCTGTGCTTTGTGAAAGATGCAGGAGGACAAAGGAGAGAAGGCAAAGATACAGGCTTACAAGTTCATTTCTGATCTAGGCAACAGCAGCCTTGGCCCTCCAGCCTGACTGTGCCTCTGAGCCAGGAGCACGGAAGAGATCAGTAGGTTCTGCTCACAACCTCTTCAAATGCTCTGGAGATAACAAGAGCCCCGTGAGCAGCTCCAGCCAGGAACACGTGTTGTCCCTGTGCTGGTTCCATGTCACTCTTCCAATCAGAGCCAGCAGGGCCTTGGGGGGGTCCTCTGGTCCCCTGTGCCAGCTTGAAGCCCTCCTTCACTGAGTGCTCAGGGGGTTCTACCCCCAGCCCCAGCACCCATGTGATGTTACCAGCCTTTCCAATACCAGCTACCAGAATTTTGGAGTGTTCTTGTTCACTGCCTGCCACCATCCTGCAATCAGCTTCTTGGAGTGGGTTTCATTCTTGCAGATGTCCAGAAGCACAGGAAATCCTTCCTGTAGATGCTCCCCCTAGCAATCTGGACCAAAACCAGCAGATGAGTTCTCAAAAAATTTCTTCTCCTGATTTGGTTCATGCTCGATTTGCAACAAATACTGCCTAAATTGGCAGCTGGCTTTTTATTATTATTTTATAACAGGCTTCCCAGAAACGTGTTCCTCCTGGTCTTTTAAATCCTGAGGAACAAAGTATTTGCTTGTAATCCCACTTCCTCCCTCCCTTTTTAATATACTTCAGACAGACCTTGGATAAAGCATTTTCTTCACTGAGGAAGAGCCTAGAATGGACTTAGATTGTTCCAGAAATTGTGTCTTTCTGGATTGTGTTCTTCCATAATTTTATCCTTAATTTGAAGTAATTTGGTGTCAAAGGAAAGCTGCACATAAAGTGATCTGTGCTGTTATCCTGACTCTGCAAACAGACCACCTGGAAGTTAAATGGGAGACATGGGACCTGCCTCAAATATTCTGCAAATTTTCTGCATAAACCTGGGAAATGACAGAGCCACACACAGACAGAACTCACTCAGCAGACCTTGTAAATTAAAAAGCCCCAGGTTCTTGACAGGAAGAATTTCTCAACGCTTCTCCAGATCATTTTGCTCAGAGAGGCCTTGGGAGTCACTCCAGGGCAGTGACAGGTCTGAGGTGACAGCTCTGCAGACGGGTCAGAGGCCTGGACCACCTCAGGCAAAAAGTGAAAGTCAAGGAGAGAATGAAAAACAAAACAAAGCAAAAGGATAAAAGATCAGATAGTTTTAAAATTAATTGATGAATCCAAGTCACCAATTTTAAAAATCACATGTTCACCTTCTCCAAGCTTATTGTTTCCTGCAGATTTTCTCAGGACAGAGAAAGATCATCCTGAAGTTTTGGCCACACTGCCAGCTCCCCTGTGCTTTCCCAGAGCACCATGCAAAGGTGTGACTATCACAGGGATGCTGTATGGCCTCTGTTTGCTCAGCTGCCCTGTGGCATCTGGAGCTGTTCCACCCCTCCCAGTGACATTAGGTCAGCACCAGCTGCTCATTGCACAGCCACAAGGACGTCCCTGTGCCACGGATGTGCGAGCAGCCCTTTGGGGAGGTGTTGCAATGTCCTTGGAAATGAAGAGCTAGGGGTGAAAATCTCCACATCCTGTTCCAAATCCCCCGAACCAGCCAGGACTCGTTCCTTGGGTTTTGCATGCTGTTTATCTTGGGTGATGAGATCAGGTACCTTTTCAGGTTCAAGTGGCCCATCTGTGCCTCCTGCTCAATGCACTGTGACTGCATCAGACCCTTGAGGCCCATCAGAGTGTGGAAGCTGATCCTGCAGCAGCAAAGGCTCAGGGAAGGCAGCGACGCAGATCCTGCGGCCGCTGCCGTCGCTGAGCCCAGCAGTGGATGTGCCTGAGCTTTGGACTCCATCTGCAGCAAACATGCCTTGATTAGCTGCTCTGGAGGAGGCCTCTGTGTTTATTCTGGTTGCTTTCTCTTCTTCCCATCAGTGATTTGGTGGAGTCCAGCCTTTTGCGGCTCTCCAGAGCCTGATCATCTGGGACTGGTCAGGGGACAATGACAGAACTGTCTTCTTTTTCAGCCCTTCCCACAAAAAAGCAACATGCTTGAAACATTTTTTTTTCCCCATTTGCTTACTTCAGTGCATTGTGTCCTTCTGCTATGGCTTGTCTTTATCGTGTCATTTTGAAGCACCTGCTCATTCGCATTTTTTCTGTAGCATGGAGCTACTGAATTTGGCATATTTTAATTAAGATCTGGGGGTGCAAAGGAAATGTGCCTACCCTTGCAAGATTTAGAGCAACAGCTGGACAGAAAAAGTTTTGCTTCCAGCGGGAAGACAAAAGTAGCAAATAATAATTAACAATAATTATTGCCCTGCCCTGATACAGGGCAAAACATCGAAGTTCCTCAATTTTCAGCAATAAGTGCCCAGGAAACATCATAAAAATGAGTCATTCAAACTATTTTGGTTTGTACTTTTTGAGATGCTTTATTTGACTGATCATCTTACTGCATTTTTGTTCCCATGTAAATATCTCACTGCAATTCATCCTGAACCCAAGAGCAGAATTTTGCAGATGTTTTCAAAATGGGGTTATTAAAAAAATAAAAGGTCTTAAGGTCAAAATTAAAAGAATGGGATATTTTCCAGCAATAACAGAAAACAGAATCTGGACAAAAAAATCCCTGACCAGTTTTATCAATGGCATTTGCAAGTAATTTTCAGAGGTAGCAATTAAACACAGAGAGATGGAGTTAAGCAAGGGCAGTTTGGGGAGTCTCCACTCAGGCTAGAGAGGGGACAAGGTGCTGTGTGCAAGAGTTTGGTGCAGCCTTGTCCTTTCCCAGGACCATTTCTACAGACACACCCTTGTCCACTTCCCTTGGCCTCTGGGGAGGGATCCATTGTGCCTCTGTGAGTGCACCATAAAGACCAAAGGTGATATTTGCAGGGAAGTCCACCAGCTGTGAAATCCCTGCAAGAGTTTTCCAAAGAAGGAGGGACTGGGTTTTGCTGGGCCAGCCAGCCAGAACCTCTTGAGTCAAACGTGCAGGAAGAAGGATGCTGTGATCAAAAACCAGCTCGCAGCTCTCAGCTGCAGTGAGCCTTAACTTTCAGGTGTGTCCCTCACTGCAGAAGAGCTGCCCTCACCACAGGCAGCAGATTTTAATGCAGAAGGGATGATCTCTGCTGCTCTTCCTGTCCAGACTGGGAGAACCATGTGCCAAGCATGCTGGAAATTTCTTTCCTTGAAGCCACATATGAGGCCACAGTATTAAATAATCAATCATCTTCAGAAGCTTAGAAGTTGGAGACATATTTTAAAAAAGGAACCAAAAGCACTGCATGCACTCAAAGGTCTTCTGGTCACTGCTTCTGCCTGCAGCCTTGCTTATGAGGAGCCAGAACCCAGGTATGCAGGGGTGGCACATTGTGTCTTGACAGCTTGTACACAAGCTTGAGAGGTGACAGAAGGTGCTCTTGTTTGGGGGGTATTTTTCCTGTCACTTCTCCCCGTGCTGAATCACTGAGAAACTAAAGATGAAAATCCTGAGCTGTCCTAGACACAGGGAAGAGCTCTTCTCCCCACCCACGCTTGGCTGACTGCAGAGATCTGAAGATGGGCTATATGGTAGCTGTCACGGCATCAAAGCCTCTTTGACACCTTTTTGTTTTGCTTTTTCACTTCTTACCAATTCCTTTCTCTGTGCTTTTATTTCCTTCCACCAATATTCCCATAATTTTCAGTCTTTCATGCAGACTCAGCCACACTGGAGTTCCAGCCTTGGCTGACCTCTTGCAGGTGTGCACCTGAGGTAATTTTAGCTCCTTTCTGACAAAACACCCCTTTTTGGGGTGGGTGGGACAATTGCTTCATTCAGCAGCACCCTTGAGGCCCTTTGGTGTTCTCACAACATCCAGGAAATGTCAGATCCCAAACAGATGGAAAGCACGTTGCAAGCTAAACTGGATTTCCTTGAAGACTCTGTGAAGAAATTCCTGACTCTGTTAGATATGATGAATGAACTTCAAAAAGGATTGGGAAGACACCTTCTCTTTTGGATTCCTTGCTAAAAGCCCAGTGCAATCTCCAAGGGGTTTCTCCAGTCCTGCTTCCCTGGGGCTGTCTTTGTGCCCCCAGTTCCTCCGATTTGTGCTTTCTGATTGACAGCAGGGCATTTTCTTCTCTTCCCAGCACCAGCTTCCTCTGCTTCATTGCAGGGAAGGTCAGCAGGTCTGATGGTCACCCCTTGGGCTGAGCTTTCCTTGGGAGTTGGCTTGGTATGGCTGGTACATCTCCCTTTCCTGTGCCCAAGATGAACATCCAAGAATGAGAAAAAAGCACCAATTTTTCAAAGATATATGCCTGACTAGGGAGTTCAGTTTTCGGTTTCAGAAGTGCCTTGGATACTGAGAAATTGGTGTGTGGCTGGAGAGCTCAGTGCAGCCTCACGCAGAGCCATGCCCTTAAGTTCTCCGTGGGCAGTTTGGGGTGCACAAATAGCCCAGCACTCCCACTTAGAGGTGTGAGCACAGGTCTCAAAAACCCAGATGCTGACCCACATTTGGTCATGGGCAGTGAGGGTGCAGCAGGTTTTTTTGCACAGCTCAGGCCTACTCTGCAGGGAAATCCAGCAAGAAAGCAAGTGCCAAGTCCAGGTCAGTGTATGTCCATGATGAAGTACAACTACTAAAAATCAAGGTTTTCTACATGGAGCTGGACCTGGAGCTGGAGCTGGAGCTGGAGCTGGATGTAGACCTGGACCATCCCCCACCAGATGCACAGGTTGGGAGCAGTTGCCTGACACTGTGCTGTGGCTGCTCCAACCTCCTGCTGTCCTTTGAAGTGGTCTGGCCAGGAGCTGAGCCATTGACATCAGATTTGGCCTCTGATTCATCTGTTTCTTATGAGGTGTCTTTCAGTCCCTTCTTTGTTGACCACTTGCAGATCAGTGTGGTACAGTGAGATCTTGTGGGTGGCATCTGAGAGTGAGGAAGCTCTGAAGTGTACCAGGTGCAGCTCCACTCACAACAAGTTGAAAAACAGATGTTAAAATGCTATAAAGATAAAACCCTCTTAAGCTCAGAGAGAAGAGAGGTCTGTTGAGAAGGGAGGGAATTGTGGGACAGGGAGGTGAGAGCTGGGACTTGAAGAAAACTAGAGATCCTGTGCAGGACTATCCAAGGAATACCCAGAAGAAAAGATCTGAAGTGAGGGAAGGAGACAAGTGCCTGGGGCAGAAGTGTTTGCCCACTCCAGGCTGGGCTCCCATGGCTTCCCAGGCTCACCTGCAGTGGGTGACAATGCAGAGGGTGCAGGTGCTGCTCATCCTGGGTGGTTCTGCAGCTCCTGCTGCACCCCTGCCCATGGCCCTGTGCTCCCCAAACCTGGCTCAGCTGAGGAGTGCTCTGGGGAGCTACTCATGGGCTGGTGCCAGTGCCTGGTGGCTCTTGACTGCAGGGCACCTTCCCTGCCACCTGAGCATCCTGTGAATGTGTAGCTGGTGCCCATGAGCTGGCACACCTTGGCCCACCAGGTGACCCAGGCCAGGACAGAGCCTGAGACAGCCTTGCATTTGGACAGCATGTGAGCCCCCTTCAGCTCAGCTTTCTTCTCTGTCCTTTCCTCTCTGTTAACACAGAGACTCTGTACGTGCTTTCTCTCTAACCACCCCCAGAATACCCTGTGGGTACTTCTGGGGTCACAGTGGGGAGATGCTTTCCACACCCAACGCTCGCTGTCGCCTGAGCAGCTGCTCACTGCTTTTGGTGCCTCTTGCCAGTCTACAGAACAGCTCCACAGAGTCTCTGAAAGAATCATCCAGCCCATCTCAGTCTTCCTGCCAGCTGGTGCTTCTAGCAGGTGAGAAGGAAGGAGGCAGGCAGAGCAGGACAGAGCAGGACAGAGCAGGACAGAGCAGGACAGAGCAGGACAGAGCAGGAGGGGTTTGGCTGCCTGCTTGAAGACCCTGGCCTAAACCAGAGCTGGAACACTGATGCTGCAGGTGCCTGGTTAAAGCAAAGAGTAAATACGCATGTAAAGCCTTTATTTTTTCCATTCATCACAATGCACTTTTTATTTCTGACCTTAGCCTCAAGAACTGTGCCAGACATGTTCTGTGATTTCTCCCCTTTTCCCCTCCAGATGTCCAAATGGATTCTTCGGACAGAGATGTTTGGAGAAACTGCCTTTGCGATTGTACATGCCAGATCCTAAGCAAAGTATGTTTGAAGACAAAAAATGCACCACACTACTTAAAACCTCCCGGGCACAGCGGTGGATGTAGAGTGCTCTAGTCAGGGACGGCTCTTGGTGTCAGCTTTGGGTAGGGCTTAGGGCTGCAGGTAAGGGTGAAGGCTGAAGGCAGACAGATAGGAGCTGTGGAAGGGATCAGAAGGGGCCTCAGTTCAGCCTGTTTGGGTGTCATTTTGCTATCTTGTTTCTCTCTTTCTGGTTTTCTCTCTTCCGGTAGGTGTCCGATCGAATTCACAGGAGACCGGTGTCAGCATTTCGCAATGGTCAGCTTCTCCAGTATGTCTCTTTCTACTTCTCTCTCTCCTTGTTGTTGTAGCTCTGTGTCATGTCCTTAAAGCAGGTTCTTCTGTTCTCCAAGAGCCCTCTTCCTGTCTTGTGCACTCCCAGCTCTGCTTGGTACTAAGAGGAGCTGTGACCGTGTCCAAGAGAACTGGGGCTTGTTATCTCCCCATTTGTTGGAATGGGCTCTGCTTTTATTTCTGATTGAACTGAATGCTGCTTCCTCTTTTCAGACAAAATGCAGAGGAGTTCACGTGGTGGGTGTGCTGTGTGAGATGAGCCTGTGCTGTGTGTAGAGCTGGGCCTGCCAGCATTGCTGTCCTGACATGGACTGTGCTCTGCAGGGCAGGATTTGGACATTTTCTGTGTGCCATGCAGAGCAGATTTGGGCATTTCCCCTGTGCTGTGCAGGGCAGATTTGGACATTTTCTGTGTGCCATGCAGAGCAGATTTGGGCATTTCCCCAGTGATGCTTGGGGCAGAATTTGGGCATTTCCCCTGTGCTGTGCAGGGCAGATTTGGACGTTTCCCCTGTGCTATGCAGAGCAGATTTGGGCATTTTCCCTGTGATGTTTGGGGCAGGATTTGGGCATCTTCCCACCACTCCTGCGAGAGGGGCGTGAGTCTCCTTGAGCCAAAGGAGGAAATCACAGCCAGGGTGTGACTGTAATGAAATCTCTTTACAGTCTGTGGCACAGAGGTCACTCTGGTGGCTGCCACTGCCTCTGGGCTTCCCAGCCTCACTGCCATGCAGGATAAACCTGCCAAGTGGCATCAGACGACGTCCCTCCTGAACACAGAGGTGCTCCTGTCTCTCCTAGGTGGTTGAACAGTCTTGCATATGGGATTGAGCTTAAGCACAGTGACTGATCCTTTAATGCTTTCATTGGGTATAAATACCCCAAAGTGCTTCCCAGTTTCTAGTTTCCAGTTCCTACAGGCCTCGCTTATAGACATAACCAGCTCATGATGGTCAAGGTGGGTGATTTTTCTGGGTCCCTATTCAGTCAGTGTCCCAGCATCAGTGGGATCCTGGTCTGGGTAAGGACTGATCTGGGAGGAGGTGCAGTTACAGTGCAGGAAACCTGTGACCTTCCCTGTGACCTTCCCTGTGACCCTTCTTTGACTGTCCCTGAAACCCATCCTGCTTCCACGCTGGCTGACTGGACCCACCACAAATGGTGGGTTTAAAGAGAAGCTTTTTAAAAAGAGCCAAAAAGAGGCTTTAATTAGTGGTAACCAGAGGAGAAATGCCTCTTCAGGATGGCTCCTTGATTGCCAGAACGCCTCTCCCACTGCTCTGTGAGGAATCCTGCCGTCCTCATCCTGCACTGGAATTGCAGGAGCCTCATTAGCACGTGCTAATAGCTGGCAAGTGCTGGAATTAGACTCCCTTGCATGGAGCATACAGACAAGATGCAAATGGACTTTGTGGGGCCCTTGGGACAGCTCAGTGTTTTTGCATTGCCTTTTGTTCCAAATTGGCTTCCGAAGTTGAAACCTCCATTGATTTATTCTCCCAGACTCCAATATCCAAGCAATCTTTTTAAAATGACAACCCAGAATGTTCTATTTTGATCTTTCACCTGATGCTAAAGGGTTTCCTTCCCTCTTGGAAGCCCTGGGTGTCAGGGCCCTGGCTGCAGCCAGCAGTGGGATGCTCACCCCATGGAGCTGATTTGTAACATGTTTTATGAGGTGGTGTCCAATGGGCTTAAACATTATTGGTGCCCTGCTACAAAACCAAAACAGGGGTGAAAATGAGTTTTATGTCAAAAAAACGCCTTTTGAGAGCATTAATGGCAGGAATAAACAGCATGCTTTTTTTTTTTTTTCCCAGCTTGCAGAATCCAGCTCTTTATGGGACTGAGATTTGTTTTAATTTTATTCACGTGTTAGAGCAACAATGTCAGCTTTAAAACTGACACATGTACATTTCCTTAACTCAAGTTTGCTTTAACCACAGCATAGTAAGGTAAAAACAGCTTAACAATCCAGGCTACCTGTCTGAACTTGGATAAAATTCATATAAGAAGATGATTCATGCATGTTTATAGCTGTTTTCACTTTCAGGTCACAGTTGGGTAATATAGATAGCAGCAGCTCTGAAGAAAAACTTGCACTGAACTTTCTGTTTTTTTGAGTAGGAAAAGCATTTCACTCAAGTGTGGACCCTGCAAATGCTTACCTTCTACTTTGATCAATAATTAGGGCACAGGAGATGTTGCTGATTTTCCATAATTCACTCAATGCTTCATCCCATATGGGTTCTGACAGGTCAAAAGCTGAAACAGATTAAATGAGGTTCAGGCATTTCCACTGGAAATAAAATAGCTCTGTCCTGATTCATGTTTTGAGAACACTGCCAGTATTTGACAGATACTTAAATAAGGACATCTATATTGGTGTTGTTTTAAATGCATTTGGGGTATTTCAGGTTTTCAGGCCTAGATTGGATCCTCCTGATTCTTTAATATTAATATTAAATATGACAATGACTTTTATTAAGTATATCCCAGGGCTGAGTGAGAGTCTCTGCGGAGTGAGCTAAATTGAAAGTGCTGTTCTGGAAAGATATGGCAGATATTTTGCTGAATTTGGGCCACAAATGGAGATGGTGAAGCATCCCAGCATCATGCCAGATGTTGTGTGTCCTCCTTTTGGGAGCAGCTTCCTACCTCCCTGGTTTAAACCCTTATTCACATTTTGCTCAGGAAAAACTCCCCTGAACTCCAGGAGTTCAGGCTGTCTTTGTCTCTTTGACAGGTAGCTCTGGAGGTTTATTTTTCTCTGATTGCCCAAAACACCTGCTAGACTACATTAAGATGAAAATGAGGTGTATTTAGATAGGTTTTTGCTCATGAGATATTTCTTTATGTTGCTGTTCCAACCACATGAGCAAGTGTCTACTGCCAGCGCTTCTGGATATGTACACCATTGCTTGAAAATTAAGAGAAAATGTTAAAGATGGATTTTTTTTTTTTTTTTTTCCATGTCAGGTTCACACTGTTGCTATTTTCTACCAGATTGGTGCACAGAAACTCACTAGGAATTGTATTAGTGGGGTAGCTCAGAGAACCCCCAGTCTGTCCTGACTCTGTCCACACATAAGGCTGATGGATCAAGTTTAGGAGATAATTTTGTTTAGGCTTTAACTAACCTGTGAGAAGAAAACCTTATAGAGGGACATTAAAGCAACATTTAAATCAGTTGAAATTTAAACTGCAGGGAATTAATGGCAGTGAACAGAGTGGACACTGATTGCCTACACTTGCTGTATGAAACTGAGGAATGTCCTGGCAGATGAGAACAGAGAGTTATTTCCATGGCTGATGAGTCATTAAATCCTCTTGCTACAACGTTTTTCACATCAAGGTCCCCCTGACTCTGTGTCTCCATAGACAAACTGGTGGGAGCAGCTGTCAGGTGCTCCTGTGGCACAGGTACCTGCAGAGCCACAGGCCACAGGGTCTCTGTCCCTGCTTTGCTGAGAATAGATCACCTCAGACTCTTGCTCCACAGCCAGAATGAACCCACAGCAATGGCATCCATGGAGCATTCAGCTTCTGCAGCTAGATTTTCCTCTCTGCTGGTGCACCTGGCTGAAGAGTGCAGCCATATCCAAAAGGTCAGGAATTCTCTTGGAGAGCTTTGCTGGGTGCTGGAGGCTCACCCAGTGTAGAGCTGCCTCCTGGGTCCAGCTCCATGGGCACAGCTGTGGCTTGCAGCTCTCCACAGGAGACAGAACCATGTCCAAAATCATCCTTCCTCCTAAGAAACACTTTTTTCAAAGTTGTGCTGGCACCTGTGTGTCACAGCTGCCCATTCTACATCAGATCAAGATCTACCTCTGTCTTCTCTCTTCTACAAGCAACTTTTCAGGTCTTCGTTAAATCCTCCTGGAGGTTTACTAATAACTTGCCGGGCTTTGGGCTGGCTGGTTGTAAAGGTTTTGTAAAACATGTTGGCAGCTTTATCAGTCCTGGTGCAGCTGAGATCCTGAAAGTTAAACGTGGTCAGCAGGAACATTTACGTTTCCTAAGTCTGCACATTTGGATTCTTTCCACTTGTGATTTATGGAACAATTTAGAAAATTGGGATAAAGTTTTATATTTATTCTTCCCTCCTGCCTGTGTAAACTGAAACTTCATCTCAACTTTGCTGTTTATTCATCTCTACAAATAATCATCACCAATCTGGAGGACAAATGTCATACCATTCATCTTGGTTAGTGAAACATTTTCATTTTCTACTTTGTGATCCAATTAAAATTGCAGGCTGTAGCCTGCCTGTAAACACCCTGAAACAGAGCTGACATTCATATGCAATGTCATCTAGCATATTCTCTATTTTTACCCCGTATTTAACTCCTGGCTTCTTTGCAAATTGAATTCTAATTCTCAGCTGAAGCCTTCCCATTGGTCTGCTTGGAAACACAGAGTAGGATTTTCAGGCATCCCTTGGGAGAGCAGCTTTGTCTTCAGCCTGGTCCCACAGCAGCACCTGAGCTGGCTCCAGTGCTGCTGGGCAAGCCACTGTGGAGCAGTGTGGCCTTGCTGGGTGAGAGGCTTCTTGTTGTTCTGGGGGATGGTCCCTGTCCCCCAGAACTCACCAGGCTGTGGCAGGGGTGTGTTGGTCACCACCCTGACAGGTAGGAGTGACCCTTCTGGTGGCCTCTGGAACCTGGCTCCTTGTGCTGAGGTGGAGTGTCCTCGTGAGCAGAGGGATGACTGTACCACTTCAAGCTCTTCTGGGAAGATCTAGATCTGAATTTTAGCTTCTCCGTTCAGCTCACTTACTCAGCAGTGGCTTCCTACCTGCTGTGACTGCAATACAAAAATGATAAATGAAAGATTATTTCTTTATTTTACCTGAATTTCTGCTTCCTCCTCCACCTCTCACTCATCTGACCCCAAACCAGTATTTAGCAGCATTTTAAATTCCACAGACATTCTGCAGCTTCCCTTCAGTGACCACTGAATTACAGGGTGATGGCTGTGCTTTGGTGTGGCTGGGTAATTGCAGGGTGTCCGTGGTTTAGCATGGCAGGGTGATCCCTCTCCCCAGGACACAGCACAGGTTACCCTTGGGATCTCCTAAAGTTAACTGTGTGCTCATCCCCAGCAGATTTTGAATACTCTGTTGCTGTGTGTTTGGACTCTTGATGCTGACCAAATTCGTTTTATTGCTTCAGTACTGCAGAAGGTGAATGGCTCTGGAGTTTGTGGAATATTTGCAGACTTCCTGTTCCTGGAGATCCCACGTGTCACCCTGCTCTTAACACAGGCACAGTGTCCTCTGTCCCCATCGTGACGCCCTGTCTCTCATTGCTCCCTGTGTGCCCTGGGAAAAGCCAGAAATAGAGTCCTGCAAGTGCTACTCTCGTCGACACAATTGATTAGCCACAAAATTATCGTCAATTTATTATCTTGCTAGTCCTCAGATGTCAATTCTCCACTTAGTTTCCTGCCTTGGAGCATGCTCTGTGTCCCAGAGAGCGTATTTTGTGGGGATAATGTGCAGTAACTAAACATCTTATTGACGTTCTTGGGCAATCTGAAGACCAAGTGAGCACAGGCACAGTTTTCACAGCTGTTTGCTAAGGCTTTTATCCTTTTTAATCATCCTATAAATCTACAGTGCAGTGAGAGTCATCTTGCTTGAGGTGTTACTCCTACAGGAGTACTTTACATTAAATGTTTTTGTCTGCTCATCTTTTAAAATAACTACAATACATCATAGTCACAGAGTCACTGCAGATTAAGTAAATGCACGACTTTGTCTTTTGTCTGATGCTGAGAAAAAGCATTTTCAGAAAGATTCAGGAGGCACATTTGGAATGAGATTTTCCAAAAAAACCCTCACGTCCCCAGTTCAGGGAGTTTGGGGAGTGCCACAGCAGTTCAGGGTGCTCAGCTTGCCCTGACCAGGGAGGATGTGTGCAGTGCAGGAGGATGATGATGATGAAGGTTATGAGGAAAATGCTGTGCTCGTTTCCTCAGCCTGCAGCTGCCATCTCAGGGCTGTCTCACTCCAGTTTATTTGTGTGGTAGCCCCTGGATAAATTGCTTCCAGTGGACCTTGTCCTGTTGAAGCTGGAGGGGACAACAAGAAATATGGAGAGATTTAGAGGGCTTGGAGTGACAGAACAAGTTGGAATGGCTTCAAACTGACAGAGAGCAGGTTTAGATTGGACATTAGCAAGGAATTCTTCCCTGTGATGGTAATGAGACACTGGCCCAGGTTTCCCAGCCAGCTGGCTGTCTCTGCTCCCTGAGCCTGGGGAGCCAGAAGAAACAGCAGCTCTGACATGAGAGGGGCAGTGGGAAGGCTCAAGCTCCTCAGGTCCTGCCCACCACCTCTGTTCTCACAGGCGTTTCTGAGTTTGCAAAAAAATCATGGAAATATTTTTAATTGCATCCATTTGTAGCTGCAGATGTTGCAGAAAATCCTGGAACAGGGAGGAATGTGTGTATGCAGGTGGACCAACAGCTTAGATGGATGCATGAAACGAGGTATCTCTACATGCATTTGTCAGTGTCAGGGAAAACAGGTGTGTACAATGGTGGGAAGACTTAGGAATAAGTCAGGGCTGGATGTGATAACCAGGTGGTTTAGGATGAATATATTCTGTCCAGTTCTCTGCTGCCCACCACATTATGTCCATGTCACTGCCATGAAATGTACAGAAGTGTACAAAATTACTCTGAAATGCTCTGTAGAGTTTGCCATTCCTTTTAAACAAATGTGAGATGTGAAGCAGAGAGCAGCCAGGCTTTGTGGCCTTTAAATTATACAAAACTTTAAGGAATCCCAACTTCCCCCTACAAAAGCCCCCCCAAACATCAGCACTGGTTTGAAGAGAAGAACCTGCTTTAGAACACGTGTTTATATGTTCCGTAACAATTAGTGCTAATTCCTCCCCCCGCCTAAATTTTGAACAGCACTGCAAAAGAAAGCCAGTATTTCTGTGCAGCAAAAAGCAGTTCCTATGGAAAATATAGTAAATAAATCTGGATATCTCCAAGCTGCAAATAATCTTGTGTGTATGGTGATTGGGAGCAGCAGAGCTCACTTTTGTGTACGGTGGTAAGTATGGAGAACTTTCATGTTTATGTAAGAAAAGCTGTCTTTAGGTGATGTCTGTACCAGGAAAATGACTAAAATTCAGGATACCTGTTTTGCACTGTTGATTCATTGTATAGACTCTTGTGCTTAGCACTGTCTCTGCAAGATGAACTGCACTCTTACTTGTGCTGAATATGAATCTGAAAGCACATACTCTGATTTGGACTTTTTGCAGCTCACTAAAACAATGCAGAGCCTCGGCAGGAGCACAGTTTGGAAGGCCACAGGCTTGAGGGGAGCTTTCTGTGCCATTTGCACTTCGAGATGCATTGCCTTGCCCGGGCACCTCATCCCTCGCAGCATCCGTGGTTGGCAGGGCAGGGCTGGCAGGGCAGGGGCTTGGAGGGCTGGCGCTGCCAGGGCTGCTGTGCCCCTGGGCTGGGGGAGGCTGTGGGCAGCAGCACGGGGCTGGCGAGCCCCAGGCCCCCGCAGGAGCCCTCCCAGCCCTGTGCCCAGCACTCCTCCCTGGAGCACAGCCCCAGGCTCAGCGGGGCGTGGGAGAGCAGCCAGGGCAGATTTGCCCTGTGGAAAGGGAATGAATGGTTTTTACCAGGCTCATGCAGTCTCTATGTGTTTTGACCTGTCAGGAGTTGTTTCAGAACAAGTGTACCTTTCCTATTTTTTTTTTTTCCCCTGCCTAAACAGTGAATTCCATATCAGGTACTAACAAACATGGCTCATCTCGAAAGAATTCATAATTAACTGAAAGAATTCATAATTAACTTCCACTGCAATTTGTTTGGGTCTTTCTTTGCATAACATGTGAGTTGTGGTGGGGGTTTGAAATGCTCTGAAGTGTACAGTGTCTCTGTGTGAGTGCTGCTGAGCCTACCAAAAGCTAACCTGCTGTAACTGCAGTGTGTGTGTTTGTATTTTAGAGTTCTCTGACAGACCTGTTTTTCTTTTTCTCTTTCTCTTCCTTGTCTTCTTTCTGCATTGGCAGAGCATCTTGGATTTGAATTAAAGGGTATGGAACAACCATTCATTTATTAATCAGAAGCCATTAAGAGCTTCCAACATTATATTTATGGCTTTAATGGGATGATTAAAAAATCAGCTGTTCTGTTCTCTTCCCTGGCACCAAGATGGATGTTTGGATTGGAAAAAAAACCCAAAAACCATCAAACAAAACAACAACCAAAACCAAAACAAAGCAAATCACAAATTTTAAATGCAAACCTATGAAAATGCAGGTGTATTTTTAGCAGCACTTTTTTCTTTGTTCCAAGCAGCAGCGTGGTGTGTGTGGCATGACTGGGATGTTACAATTGCCACTCATCTCCATTCAACATGCTTTTGTGTATTTAACTGAAAACCTGGGGTCTTGTGTCCATCCAAAAGGTTGCCAGCAGGCACTGCTTGGGAACAGGCAGACATTCCAGGAACTGGAAGACAAGTTCTAGAAATATCAGAACTGTTGCAGAAATTGCCATCCCAGACACACTAACCTCCACCAGATCCTGCAAAGAGTCAGGATGAGCTTTGCCATTCCCCCTCCCAGACTTTAGCAGCTTTGTTTTTCTCCTTGAGGAGGATGAAATTGTGCCAAGAAAGATGGCATGAGACAAGTTAGTCTAGAAAATTATCCCAGGGAAGCCAGTAGTTGCCCATGAGAGTGGAGGGTGTAATGTTGAGCACCCCAGTGGCAAGCTTGGGAAAACACTGCAATAAGTTAAATGCTTTTAAAAATATCCCCTTTGGGCATTTACCTGCTCCTGCCCAGTTCCTCATAATCATATTATTTTCTTTCCATTCTCCTCAGTCTGGTTTTAGATATATATCAAGTTATCCCTTGAATAAGCAGCTGGGAAATCAAATCCATGAGGCAGGTTTTCCCTGGAGTGTGCAAGCCAGGAGCAGGGAGGGCTGGTCAGGAGGGAGCAGAGGGGTTGGACAGCCTGGGATAGTGGAAGGTGCCCCTGCCTATGGCAAGGGGTTGGAACAAGATGAGCTTTAAGGTTCCTTCCAACCCAAACCATTCAAGGATTCTGTCATGATTCCATGATTGATCACTTAACCTAAAAGCATTGGCCTGGCAGTGTCACCCAGAGCAGACCTTCACATGGAGATGCTTCAATTCCCTTTGCTAGAGGTGTGAGGACCTTTAGGATTCACCAGTCTTCCACTTGTGCATCCTAAATTGCCTTCTGAGGTTCTTGAGGTGGAGGGACATTCCCTAACTGAGGCTGAAGAAATCTCCTCTAGTTTTTGCAGGCGTGATCCCCCGGAGCAGAAAATGTGTGAATTTTGTAGTCAGGGTGCTTCAGAGAAAGTGGTGCTGCTAATGCTAATACACTTGGACAAACCTTAAAATCGAGGATTTTTGACATCCCTTTTTTGTTGACCTTTTGTCCTGTTCCTCATCCATCCTCAATGTCATCACAGAAGCACACACATCCTGTTCCCAGTCTGCAGCCGTCTCTCCTCTGTCATTCGTCTGTCACTGTCATGCCTTGCTGTGCACCATGGCTGGCCTGTGGCTCTGTTGGCATTGTGTGGCACCACACGGTTTGTTCTTGGTGTTTGCTGCTGTAAAAGTGACCGTGCTGCTGATGAAGATGTGTTTGTAGAGCACAGAGACACAAATGGACCTGCTCTGGGATCTTACCTGCTCAAGTACAAAGTTGCAGCGTGCACGCTCTCATTTCCTTGCTGGTGGTGTTGAGATGGTTTTGCCCCAAGTGATTAGTGGAAATGGTCCTTCAGTATGTCTTGTCTCAGGGTTTCTGATTAAAACTGTGGGATTTTCTTTCAATTTTGCCTTCGTGCTATTTGAAAAGTGCCTAAAAATTGGAGGATTAGGTTCTGCAAATAAGCTATTCAAAAAATTAAAAACATACAAAGCTTTGCTCAGCCTCATCTGAGGTGTTGCTTGGGCCACTCCCTCCTTCTGTTGAAGAGGGAAAAAATTCTCAGTAGCAGTGTCTCTGGTCACACAAAGTGAAGATACTGTTCTTGAGCATCAGATTTAATGAGATGTTGGGAGCCAAGCTTGATCACTATCAGCAGATCATTCACTATTTAGTTTGCAGCAGTGATGCACAGCCTCACACGTCATTGCTTTGTCTAGCAGAGCTGTCAGCTCGAGACAGAGAGGCCAAATCTGCATTTCTGATGAACTGAAACATTCCCCTGCAATTCAGGTGAAGGTTCAGGACAGTCAGACATGCCAGAGTCAGGGTCCCATACTGGCATGACCACCAGAAAAAAGGTTGGGGTTTGAGCCCTGGCCAAAGAATTTTGTTCTGTTATAGATAAAAAACCCCAGCCAAATAACAAACCCTCAGACAATAATAACTCAAACAAACAACAACAACAAAAAAAAAAGCAAACAAAACCCTCCCCCATAGTTTTAATGTCTTTGCTCTTTCTTCCTCCTCCATGATTCAAATTGAATTATTTCTGCTTAGGGAAAAAAGTCTTTGTAGCAAAAAGCATTGCTATTGAAGGATTTTTGCTGAAAACTTACCTTCCTCACAGCCTTTTTTTTTTTTTTTTTTTTTTTTTTAAAGCAGTGTTTGCTGAGCAGTAGCAAAATTCTTTCCCAGTGCCATCCACATAACCAGGATATGATCCCAGCTAGTTTTCCTAATTTGTATGAAATCTCTGAAACTCCTGTCTGAAAGAGACCTGTACAGCTGTAATCCAGGTCCCAAAGATGTGCAAGAGCAAGAAAACGTGTTTGCCATGGTTGCTGACGCCTGGAATAAGGCATCTGTACCAAAGAAACATGTCATTGAAGGAGGAGTTTCACCCCATAGCAGGTTCTTCCCCACTCCAGCTCCACCTGGCTCCTTGTAGGGAAAAAAAAACCTGCAAGAAGGCTTTGTTTTATATTTTGCATCTTCATGCCAGGATTGTCTTTCTTGCCAGTCCTTGTTTACCAGACCTTTCTCCATTCCCATTTTGAGAGTTAGAAGGAGATAACCATTTTTCCTAGCACCGATTTTTTTCTCCAAAAATGCTTTTTTCAACCTCGAATGGCAAGCTGAAATTGTTCTAAGTATCCAGTTGACTGGAATGCTTCATTGCTTCCCATTCACTTTTTTTTTTTTTTTTTGCTAAAATCTAGTACCAGGGGTTTCTGGGACCAAACCTGTTTCTCTTCTGGTTTTGTATTTGAGTGTTTGGTGGCACAGGGGGTATCACACAGTCTGTTCAAGGTATTTTGAGTGGTGTGGGGAAGCACACTGAGCACATCAGCCATGGCATGAATTTTATTGCTAATCTAGATGGAGAAAAAATCATTCAATGAGCATTAAACAAGGCACTATTAAAGAAGGCCCAAACCCCAAAAACTTTAACACATAGTGTGAGGGCATGAGGACTTTGCTCATAGCTGCTGAGCTGAAACCCTCATGGCAGCTCTGCACTGAATCCTTCTCTCAGTCATCCAGCTGGAGAACCCAAAGTGCCTCTGCTGCTCTTGGCAGAGGTTGCTGGATGTCACATCTGGTGTAGCCATGGAGGAAGAGGTGTCCTTGCCGTGGCGTTGCTGCCTAGGTGCAGTGCAAACGAGATCCAAACATTTCCTGGGAGCTTTGGTGGATGAGAATGAATCACCTCACTTCCAGCCTGGTCTGGGTTTTGGTGCAAGTGACTGGCTCTTCTGGTTTGAAAGGTAGCCCGTGATACTTGGTGGTATTTGAGAGAGGCAGCAGCAAGCTGCTTACATGTTGTGTGTGCCTCTGAGCTACCTGATGCAATGGTATGAATTGCCTCCTAGGGTTTCATTTAAAATCCATAACTGGTTCCTGTATTTTAATCACTCCACTCCCTTTTCTTTGCCTGACACACTGTCACTTTTCCATCCTCATGCTGCTTTTTGACTGTTCCAGGATGTCCCTTTCAGTGCCTACATGCTTTGGAGCCTGTTGTGGTCCTCCCACACCACCCTGCCCCAGGGCATGTGGTTGCTGGAGGCAGAGGCATCCTGAGGCGGGCAGAGCAGAGCCTGGGGTCAGGGATCACAGGGCAGTGTGCTCCGGGAGTAGGGCATGCCCCAGGGCTCCTGTGCTACCTGATCAGGGCACCAGAAAGGGGGGATCTGCTGGAAGGGAGAGGAGAGTCGTGGGGCTTTGTGAGATTAGTCACTGTGGGAAAGGAAGGGAAGGTGAGAAGTGTGAGTGAAGAAGGGGTGAGCTACCCAGTGAGAGAGGGCAAAGGCACAGGGAGACAAAAAGAGTAAAAAGAGTCTTTTGAGGGGTGAGGAATGTTGGGCCAGCTGGGCTCAGGTCTGGGGCAGCCATTAGGCAGGCAGTGGATTGGTAGGAGGTCTGCCTGAGCCCTGTCCTCTGTCTCACCCCCATGCAGAGCTGGTTCCTGTGCAGCCAGAGCAGCCCAGGTGCTGGAGCCCATTGGTAACTGGTTCCTTTCTCTCCATTTGCAGAAGCAGAGGAGCTCTACCAGAAGAGGGTTTTAACCATCACGGGAATCTGTGTTGCCTTGCTTGTGGTGGGCATCGTCTGTGTGGTAGCTTACTGTAAAACCAAGTGAGTATGGGGGGCTCACAGGCAAGAACTGGCTACAGGTTAGTGAGTGGCAGTGTTCATGTTCCACACATCCATGCTTTTCACCCAAATGCTAATTTTAGGAGATTATGTGCTGTGGTACTCCCAGGAAAGTCTCATGCAGGAGGAGAGTGAAGCTGTCTACCAGACCGTGTCTGAATAGGATATTTTCCTGGCACCATTTGCTTGTCCCCTGGAACATCATTTTGCCCAGCCAGGTGATGCTGTGTTACAGGGCACAGCTGGTCTCCAAGCCAGCAGCTCAGCTTCTGCCAGCAGAAGCACACTGGGCTGTTGTGCAGGAGCTGTGGGCTCGGCTTTGTACATTGCAGGGACTTCCAGAGCAATCCTAATGGAACAGGAGAATTGGGAACCTCTTTTACGGTCAGCCTGGACAGCACTTTTCTCTCTAGTCAGCCTGCACCTCAGTTCAGAGTGCCCCTGTAACTCAGTGGGTCTTGTGCAGCAGATATCTCACCCTGGGCATGGGTAGGCTTTGTCCTTCAGGCAGGACATGTCAAGTGCTTTGTCACCAAGGCTGAGCCAGGACTCACTTCCCCTTTTCAATCTCCCCAGTTTTCTCCACTACTGCCAGGTGGCTCTGCTACATTGTGCTGGGCCTTGCCTTGAAAAGAGGACATTGGACCCAGCTTCCAAAATTGTCCATGAGAAGAAAAGTTGACATTTTCTTTGGAAAAGCAGTAGGAGGTGTTAAGTGTTGAATGCCTTGTTTTGTGTTGTTTGCAACTTACTGCAAATACCCTTGTAATATTCACATGTTGAAGACTTGCCTTCTCTTTCATCTCTGGGGGCACAAATCCCCATGAGAGAAGTGTTCCTAAAAGATTTTTTTCTGTTCTAAAGGAAACAAAGAAAACAAATGCATAACCACTTGCGGCAGAACATGTGTCCTGCTCATCAAAACCGGAGCCTTGCAAACGGGCCAAGCCATCCACGTTTGGATCCTGAGGAAATCCAAATGGCTGATGTAAGACCTTTGCCTCCATCTCCCTGCATGCTCCTGAGGGGCTGTTTTCCACCAGGGGTTTGACGTGGATGTGTATCCTTACACACCTGTGTGCTTATGTTTGAGGAGCAAAGCACAAACAAACTCGAGCAAAAAGAAAGATCTTGCATAGAAACATTTCCAAAACCAACATCTGAATGGAAATGTGATTTTGCTTTGAAGTACAGGATGAGATTCAGGCATTTGGGATAGGCTTGTTTTGATTAATCAAGTGTGACCCTGATTTCCACTAGGAGAGCTGTTCCCAATGTTTCCTGTTTATTATGCTATGCTGTCAAGTCCCACTTTGTGGGATGACAAATGGGATCAGCACAGCAGTGACCGGAGTCACTGTGGTGAAACATGTCATGGTGATGTGGTCAGCTGTCCATTAGCCCACCTGCCCATGCCAGGGCTTCTGTCCTGGTGGGATACCACTGTCACACCAATGAGAACCATCTGAGTCTCTCTAGGACAAGATCCAGAGGGAAGTTCAGCCACTCTCATGTCTTTAATCGTACGAGATTCCCATCAACCCCAGTGAACTCAAGGGCCATCAATGAGCTTAAGTGCCTTGCTAGACCAAGGCTTTGAAAGGGGTCAGAAAAAGGGAAGGAGGCAGAACTGAACAACAAGTAGTTAGAAATCAGTCCAATGAATCAGCTGCAACCTCTGTTGGGTCAGCCTTAGGATATTAAAATTTAGCTATGTTGGATCCCAACCATGAAGGAAGGGGAAAGGGAATTCTAAGAACAACAGCCTCTGGCCCCATAGTATTAATTCTCTCAGAGACCTTAGTGCCCCTGTGAGAAGCAGGCTGGTTGTTAGATGAAGGAATATCTCAGCATAAATATTTGGATCACATCTGGAGTTTCTGTAGGACTCAAATCTCTGACAGATTTCATGTTGTTCTCTTTTTGCTGGCACTCAGTCGGGTGTAACCAGCTGTGGGCAGAGATGTGTCTCTGCTCAGTAGCAACACATGGTACCACTGTCCTCTGGGGAATCTCTTGGATCTCCAAACCCTTCTGCAATCCCTGTGCCACAGCCCTTTCCCAGTATCCAAAGTGAAGGGGCAGAGAAAAGCCTCCACCCTCCTTGTCCCTTCCTGTGGGTTGCAGCGCTTCCTGTGGGTTCCCTCAGTCCTCACCTGATTTCACCAGAAATAATCAGGCCAGCTAAATTTTTCTTTGGTAGCATTCACAGACTGGTGACTGATCTGTGTGATTCTTCTTATTTTGCAGTATATTTCTAAGAATGTTTCTGCCACTGAGCACGTGATCCGAAGGGAAACAGAGACAACCTTTTCAGGAAGTCACTCCTGCTCCCCATCCCATCACTGCTCCACAGCCACTCCAACGTCCAGCCAGAGGTGATGTATACCATTTTCTCTGGACCTTTGCCTGCTATTTGCCATAGGATGCTGTGAGATTCTAAGATTTTCCTTTCACCTCCCTTTCTGTTTTCACTTGACATTTGGGTCTGTAGTGGCATACAAGCCATGTCTACACTGCAGGATTCTGCAAGCACAGCTGGTTAGTGAGAGGTATGGAAAAGTGTGTTCCTTGGCCTGCAGGGAGATGCCAGCAGGATCCAGTAGCACTGACATAGCTGGAAAACAGGAGGAAATGAATCTGTGCTTCCATGCTTTGCACAGACCCAAACAGGAGGACGTGTGTAGGAAAGGTTTTGCAGGTTGTGTTTGCAGCCACACTGGACATCTGAAACACTTTCTTAAGCACACACAGGTTATGTGTTTCATATTTAGAATGTATTTGCCTTGTGGGGGACAAAGTACACAACATACCACCAAATGTTTTGATTGCTTCCTCAGAGTCAAGGTCTGACTTGGAAGTCACAGGTTTTGATCAGAAAGAAAATGCTCCTGTGCAATTTATCAGCCTCCACCTCAGGTGGTGGCTCCTCTTTCACTGAAAGTCATTCTGAAGCTTTTTAGAAAACTTGGTCTAGGAGGAAAGTACTAATAATGCTTTGTAACATCAGGATGAGACATATTTTTTATTTTCATTTCAAAATAACCACTGGGGGAAGAGTACCACAGCTTGGAACCTGAATCTTCTCAAGGTTTCTGAGAACATTTAAATGGCAGGTGGACCCCTCTATTTTTATGATGTCCAAAAAAGTCTTTCAAATGCTCTAAAGCAAGTCCTGTGCTGTTTTGAGTTTGGATGTTCTGGTTCCTCCTCTTAGACAGCTCTTGTGCTTCTTCCCCTGTCACAGGGGTTTTCCTTGGAGATTACTTGCCTTTGATATGTGGCTGGCTCATATCCTTCATTGGCCTGATGGGGTTGTCTCCATTTACCGGGGAATGCAGGAATTCTTTCAGCTGAAGCTCACAGATGGCTCCAGGCAGGTTTCCTTAGGGTCCAGGCATTCCTCAGGGTTGAGCAAGTACTCTCAGTTACAATGGGCAAGATCAACTTCAGATGTTGAACTTGGATTTTCAGGTGAATTCCTTCCCAGATTCCTTGGCTATACCTCCAGCAAGTAGAGAGGGAGCCAGGAATGACTTGATCAGCTGGGAACGATTCTTTTTTCCAGGGAAATCCACTCTTCATGAGCTGGATGATACATTCTCCAGGGTTTTTGCATTCGTACTCTTCAGCCCAGCCTTGGCAAGGTGTGTGCAAGCTTGAGCCAGGTGCACAGAGGCTCCTGTGCCTGCAGAGCTGCACCTTGCTGGCCTTCCATGCTCGCTTCAAAGGCCTGGGCCATCCCTGGGCACCTTCTGAAGACACAAAGGTGTGTCTGGAGGGCAGCATTAGCTCATGAGAGCTGTAGGGAGGAACCTACCTTGGGTAGCCTCTGGTCCTGGCTACCTGCCACCTCATTTTCCTGAGTCAAGTGCACTGAGCAGGTGCTTCTTGAAGTCATGCCAGAGGCAAACTACTGGCATAATCAGGCTCCCTTTTACTCCATCAGCGCCTCTAATGAGGACGCTGTTTGAAGTTATAAATGAGCATGTGCCTGGAGCCATCAATAATTAACAAGTTTTTGGGAAATCTTAATGAGGGCTGCTGTCCTCTGTAAACCCCCACCCAAAATCCTCCACCCACACAGCTCCATCTGGTGCGGTTTGGGAGTTCAGAGAGGTTGCTCTCATGGATCATGTATTTCTGCAATGGTGGGTCTCAGCATGGTGGCCGTGGCACTGGTGGGACCCCAGTGTGCAGGTGTCCCTGTGCATCCCACTGAGTCCTTCTGGGATGTTCTCTTTGCACCAAGACTGGGGCTGGTGGGGCTGCAGCTGCTTAGCACATCATGGTCTTTGTCTAGCACCTCGGAAGTGTTTCCCTGCCAAAATCTTTGGTAGACTTTGCTCTGCTAATTTTTGAGTGGCTTCTCCTGGCTCCTCTCTGGTAGCAATTCCAAAGGGGCTGTCACTTGGCAGTACAGGTGGCACATTTGAAGGAACTTGGCTGACTTGCCTTGGCAAAGCCAATGTGTTATTCCACACCCAGAACACTTTGCAAGCAAAAAGCAGAATTGCCCTGGCCTCCCTCCAGAGGCTGTCCCATCCTGCTCCCAGGCATTTATTCTGTGGTGGGATAAATACCTGCTATTGCACTGGTTTACTTCCTTTGTCCTCTAATGGCATCTCCAAGAAGGAGCAAAGAAAGGCAGATCAAAGGTAGGGTTGGGAATCTGGGCTTCTCTGGCCAGATGTATCCTAATGAGGAAGAGAGAAGGGGGACAGCAGTGCAGAGGTGCGGAGCTGAGTGTGAGCAGTGCCTGCCTTTGGAGAAGAGCTGGGTGGGGGTTCCTTGCTCACTGTCCACATGGGCTTTGCTCCACAGACACGAAAGCCACACCTGGAGCTTGGAGCGAACAGAGAGCCTGACTTCAGATTCCCAGTCTGGGATAATGCTGTCCTCGGTGGGAACCAGTAAATGCAACAGCCCTGCGTGCGTGGAGGCGCGGGCGCGCCGCGGGGCCACCTTCTGCATCGAGGACCAGCGGAGGCCCACGACGCAGTACCGCGACTCGGTGGATTCCCTGCGGGACTCGCCCCACAGCGAGAGGTCAGAGCCCACTGCTTGGCGCCAACACAGCACAGCAGAGGCAAGCCATGCCTCTGTGCCAAGCCCAAAATTGTTTGCCTCTGCCAGCCCTAGAGCAGCAGTGCCATGGTAGAATAGGGAAACTTCAGCCCTGGTCCTACCAGAGGAAGCCCAATTCCCCCAGGAGGCCACTCAGGTCAGGGCAGCAGCCATCTCTGCACCCTGGTGGCAATGTAGGTTTGGAGCACAGGGATGACAGCTATAGAATATGCCTGGCTGCAGTCAGCAATTGGCAGAAAAAAACTGGCTGGGAGAACACCCTGGGCAGCTTGGTGGGCTGCCAAGCAGGGTCTGGCCTTCAGGTGCTTGGGGAAAAGGTGTCTGTCCTCAGCACAGTCCTGGATGTCCAGGTGAGAGGGTGCTGCATGTGGGCACAGCCTTGGGACAGGACTCGGTAAGACCCAACCTTCAAGGAGCACAACTGCAGAGCTGAGATACCAGCAGCAGCAGTAGCAGTTCTCCTCTTCCCAGCCTGGTTCCTCATGGACCAGAAGCACCTCTTCACCTTTGTTCGAGCCCTTTGCAGGTAGCCATGAGTGACTCTTGGTGGCCACGTGGCCCCTCTTGGGCAGTTACCCTTCAAGGCAGCGGAACTTGTCCATGGGACAGAGGAGAAAGGCAGCATCTCCTGCTCTAATTCCTGTCTCTGGTCCATTCAGGAAGACTGACCCAGCTCCTATGGAGATCTCATGCATCACAAAACACATGAGTAAAAAGACCCTGGATAAGTGAGTGAGAAGGTGGAATTGGACAGAGATACCACTGGGAATATCACAAGGAAATAAGATCTGCTCCTTAGAAGGAGATGGTGCTGAAGAAATCGTTGTTTGGAGAGGAGCTAGACCAGACCTGAGTGACCACACTGATGTTTTCACTAGAGTAGATGAAAGTGGTAGATGGCTTTTTGAGACACCAGATTTTTGCTAAGTTGGAGAAATCAATCCCCAGGGTTTCCCCATCTGTGGCCTGAGCAGGGAGAGGGAATTCCAGGGACCTTCCTCAGAGACAAGCCTGGCAGCTCCAGAGGGAACAGAAAGCAGCTGTCAGGCAGATGAGAGACAGTGAAGACATGACTCAGCCTGCTGGGAGATGCTGCAGGGTTTGCAGCAATGCAGGGTGGGAATTGTGCACTGAGTCCCCTGGGAGAAGTAGTTTGGGAGATGCTCAGCACATGCTGCCCATTGAAGCCGGCAGCTCACCCTCCTTTGGCACAGCAGTGCAAGGTTCCTCCAGCTGATTCCCCAGGAGAACCTCCAGGAGCAGGTTCACTGGAGGTCTCACGGGTCCCTGGGCCAGGTGTCCAGCAAAGCGCGGGCTCAGCTGGTGGTTTTTGGGGTTGTTCGGTGTCCAACCAGAGGTGTTGCTTTTCCAGGTACGTGTCGGCCCTAACCACACCAGCACGCCTGTCGCCTGTTGACTTCCACTACTCGATGGCCACGCAGGTGCCCACCTTCGAGATCACCTCCCCGAACTCGGCGCACGCCGTGTCCCTGCCGCCGGCGGCCCCCATCAGCTTCCGCGTGGAGGAGCAGCAGCCCCTCCTGCGGCGGTACCAGCTCCCCTTCCAGGACACGCAGAGGTACGACAGCTACTACCAAAGGAAGACCTACCTAAACGACAGCATGGGGAGCCTGCCCTCCAGCCCCTTCCGCATCACAGAGGACGACGAGTACGAGACGACGCAGGAGTACGTCACAGCGCTAGAGCAGCCAAAGAAAACAGCCAGCAGCAACAGGCGGTGGAAAAAATCCAAACTGAACGGGCACATCCCTCACAGAGCCAGAGCCGTCCGGGACTCCTTCTCCTTGAGCAGCGCCTCTTACAGCGAGTCTGACGAGGAGCTGGTGGCCGAGAGCACCCCGTTCCTAAGCACTCAGAACAATGAGGCGGCGCACACAGAGTCGCCGCCGCTGCACCGGCCGGGCGACAGCCGGACTCACTACTCGTGCCGCGGGCACGTGGCGCACGGCGACGGCGGCCGCGGCAGCCTGGCGCACGTGGCGCCCAAAGCGGACCCCAACCCTCTCTAGGCGCCTCCCGCGCTCCTGCATGGGTGACCCGCATGGAGGAGGCCGAGAGGAGGGAGGCCGAGGCGCGACAAAACCACACAAACCGCAAAACAAGACAGAACAAAAATAAATATTTTTATTTTATATAAAAGAGGGAAAAAAACCAAAAAATATAACAAATAAAAATGTTTTATTTTCATTTTAGCAAAGTTGTCTTATAATAGCTAACGACAATGACTTTTTTATAGGGAATCTCTATTTATATGTAATGTCTTGATTTACAGCTTCCGAGAAAAAAAAAAGTAAAAAAACTAAAAAAAAAAAANAAAAAAACTAAAAAAAAAAAAGAAGAAGAAAAGAAAACAAACAATAAAGTTAAAAAAAAAAGTGGGCCAATTTTTGACTACTTAAAAATAGAAAACAAAACTATCGTGGTGCCTTTTGCTGTATGCTAGTGCTGGGATTCATGCCGAGGATTCTGTTTCAGTAGCATTTTTAAGGTCATAGATTTTTGTTTGGGAGACAACCTGTCACAAGGGCGCTCTTCTGTTGGAAGAAAACAGCCTTGCCACTTTGCCCCGTACCCTGCTATTAATGATCTTATTCTTTAAAGTATTGTTTAAACACACATTAAGGACATGAGTGGGAGCATTTCCATTATCATGTCTAACGAGGATCTGTCTTGCCCTGTAAACTACTTGTATTTTTGCTTAAATCAGGAGAAAAAGAAACCCAACAGCACTGTGCTGAAATGCAGAAATAACATTTCTTTTGCGACACAGGTAGGAAGAGAAAATGAAATTGCGCAGCAGCAGCAGCCCTTACAATATAGCTCTCAACCTTTGGCCATCTCACTGGTGGGTCTGGAGTGGGGTTGGCACAGGTTTGTAGTGAGGCCAGGCACACAGCCCTGTGCCCATGGTGGATCACACCCGTCATGTACCCTTGAATCGGGTCGCTGAGCCAGCCCCGTTCAGCCGCGGTGCCCGAGGCCTCGTGGCCGCCCCGGCGCCGTGCTGGCCGCGGCGTCCCCTCGGCTGAGCGGTGCAGCCGCCGTGCGGCGTTGGCCGTGGCCGGAGCTGTGGTGTCCTGCGTGACACCCTTGGCCGGGGTGCCGGGGGACACCCACAGGGTGGGCCCATGGCACAGAAGGCCGCGTGTCACCCTGGACACGGAGCCAGGCGGTCGCCGGCCGTGCTGGCCCCGGGGTCGGTAGGACCGTGAGTGCTTCGGGCTCCGCTCGTGGCCGCTGCCTTGGCCGGGCAGGGCCGTGCGCGGGGCGGCCCAGCGAGCGGGTTCTCCCGTACGGCCGTGCCACGTGCTGTAAGGACAGTTGTTACCGTCACGTCCCGCCATCGATGACGGACGTCGCGTCCCCAAACTCGGAGCAGCTCTGGCCATCGGCTCTGTGGCGCAAAGAGACAGTCCTGCGTGTCCAGGCGGCAGAGCATCCCCCGTGGAAGTGCCCCCCTCTCCTCAGTTCTCTGCAGCAAACCTGTTTACATTGTAGCCTGACTTTTTTCTTTTTATATTTTTACTTCTGCATGTCCTTTGCATTTCAGATACTGTAGATTGGATGCATGGTGAAGCTGTGACTGAGAAGATAATACAACAATTGACAGTGTATTATTTCATTTAACTTTTAGCAATAAAGTAACTAAACCCTCTATTCCTCACCCATGATGGGGTCAGATAGAAAACTCTGCTAATTTGTCATAAGATGATTGTCAAAGTTTGCTCTGGATTGTCTGAATGTCAGAACTCTTGACTGTTTAACACTTGAACATTTTTTATATTATAAATAAAATAAGAAATAACAAGCTGTGGGCTGAATTAATCTCAGGCCCTTTGGGGGGTAAATGGGGAGCTGTGACAGGAACCATACACAGAATCACAGACTGGTTGAGGCTGGAAGAGATTTCTTCCACATTTCCTGCTCCACCAGCTCACCCAGAGTCAGCTGCCTGGGCCTGTGTCCAGTCAGGGTTTGAGTAACTTCAGGGATGGCAGTACCACTACTTCTTTGGGTAACCTCTGCCAGTGTTTGGTCCCTCTCAAAGCAAAAATTTGTCTTGTATTCAAACTGGAATTCTTTATCTCAAAGTTTGCATACAAATTTATACTGTGTAGGCCTTCTATCAAACTCTGAAAACTCTCTACAAATCCATTTCCCACACAAACTGGGTTTACTAGTTTTTAATTTGGGCCCTTTGCCTCATTTACTGTTTTAGGCCCATTGCCTCATGTCCTGGACACTGCTGAAAAGAGTCCAGCTCTCTCTTTTTCGCTGCCATCCATTGGGTATTTATACACATGGGTAAGGACCCCTGAGCCTTCTCCTCTCCAGGCTGGACAGTTCCAGCTCCTTCATTCTTTTCTCATATGAGAGATGCTCTGGTTCAGTAAAGGTCTTTATGCCCATAAAGACACATAGGTGGGTGTTTTTCTACCTGGCATGGACATTTGACCTTTCCTGCAGGCCTCAGGAGTGGAGGCTCACTGAGGTGAGTGAATGCTACCCACACATCTCCCAGGGGTGCTATTCCTCCTCCAACTGCAGATCAGATCCCCCTTCACTTGAACCATGGAAGTTTCCAGATGTGCCTAGAGAGGTCAGGGTGCTTGGCATGTGCTAACACCTGGCACCTCTTTCAGTGACTTGAGTAGAGTGGAGATGTCTTGGGTCCAACCCTGCAGTGCCATGCTGCCATGCAGCACTGATCCACTCCCAAAACAGGTCCCTTGTTCAGCTTCTCCACGGGAAATCTGTGTCTCTGGCTATCCCCATGCAGGGACTCACTGACAACGTGGTGTGGTCACAGAAGCACAGTCCCTGAGGTGGCACCCATGGCTCCACCCAGATCAGAACTCACTCCCCTCTTCCTGCTCAGTGATGTGAACAGGTATCCAAAAACCCCAGCTGAACTCACTTAACAGGAGAGGGATCTGTTACTGAGTCAACCCTATTCAAATGGATTGGTTGGAACTAACTGATCTGGTTGGAACTAGATGGTTTTTAGTGTCCCTTCCAGCCCAGATCATTCTATGACTCTGAATGCCCAGAGCTGTGAGAGAACTCCCCAGCCCTCATAGTGCTGCCCATGCTGGAGGCCAGGCTAAGCACACCCACAGCCTGGGTTTCTCTGCTTCAACTGCCCCAGGATGCCCATTGTCCTGGAGCTGACCCAGCTGTGTCACAGGCCACGCCAAATATTCATTGCATGTCCTGTGGGGCCTCCAGAGAGACCACAGGGCTCATCACTCCTCCCTGAATAAAGACATCTCAACACTGGTTCCCCAGAAGGTTAAAGGCTCAAGGACCCTGTCCTCCTGCCACAAGGCCCATGTCACCCGACAGCAATGTGCAAAGGAGGTGTTAGACCTGGGATGAAGGTGGTAGGGTCAAGTCCTGGTTTGGGTGACATCTGCCTTTGGACACATCGTGCCCCACGTCTGTGCAGCCCCAGGCCTTGCTGGATGAAGGCAGCAGTGCAGCTCTCCGCTCTCCCGTTACTCTTGGGACATGCCCCAGCTCCCCATTGCCTTTGATCCATCTCAGCTTCTCCAGTGGCTCCCAGAGCAAGGTGAGATGGATGGGAATGGGCAGACAACACCAACCCCTTGGAAGGGACATGTGTAGATGATCACCAAGGCTGATCCCTGGGGAAACCAGACACATGGAAGAGAGAGATCGGGTGCCTTTGGCTTCCCAAAGCAGCCCCATCTCCCCAGCTCTCCTCAGGATCTGTGAGCTCCACTCGTGGAGAAGTCCCCCCAAGGCTGGCACAGCAGCATCTGCATTACAAGAAGGTACAGCTCATGGGTCTCCCTGGCATGCAGAACAACCGTATGGCCACATCTCAGGGTGTGCTCAATGCAGCTGATCCCCACCAGGAATCTCTCTGAGTCCCTTGGAGAGGAGCTGTGGGTTTGCCCTGCACAGGGGGATATTTCCCTGCTCCATGGTTTGCAGGGATCCCTGATGTTCTGCATTCCCTGAGACACTTCCAGGTCTGAGCTATGGCAGCCTCAGGATTCTTTGTGGTGATTTTTTTGTTCAACGTGCCCCTTGATTCCCATAATTGTGTTCTATATTTAGAGGCAGTTACGCTACTTCAATTTTCTCTCCAATTGCCTCTGAAGGAAGCCTGTATCTCTCTCTTTTTTCCCTGGCTGGTTTATTTTTAGACTCCTCATTTCCAGCCGTGCGTGCTCCTAGGGTTTTGCCGTAAATATTTTAGAGCAATTTTCACAGGTGGGGGAGCCACCAGAGCCTCTTGACAGCTCTACTCTGCATGTATGGTGCCTTTAGTGCCCTTCTCAGAGGGAAAGGCATTGCTCTGCTGACACAGATGGGTGTCAGCAGAATGTTGGATCCTGGCTTTGGGGTCAAAAAGTCTATCCCACAAAGAAGTCCCTCTGAATGTGGATGTGTCCAGGACAAGAGGCCTGGCAGGGAGGTCAGGCTGAACCTCCGCTGCCAAGTGAGGTTGTGTGAGACCCAAAGCAGTTGTGGTGCCTGCTGGAGGGGCTGGCACAAGCTGGGGATGTGCAGAAAGTGCATCTGAGTAACTTCAGGAGGAGAAAAAGATGTAGCTGCCTAATTCCTCTGAGATGCTGCTCTTCTCTCTTAGTGATGGGTGCCTGAGTCCTGGACCTCCACGTAGGAAGAAAAGGGATTATAAAACCCATTTTCTTCCGAGTCACAAGCTGAGGCTGTGGATTGGTCAAACAAGGCATTTTGGCTCTACTCTCATGTAGGTAAGATGCTCTCAACACATTTTCATGTGCCTGTGCACCTGGATCAGGACTAGTGCATGAGGCAAACTGCAGATACTCAGCAAGAGCAAGTTTAATACTCTGAACTGTCTCACCAAGTATTGTCTGACATCAGCTGCCACCCCTTCCCACATCCATTTGATGTTCAGTCTCAGGGCTCTGAGTCTTTTTCCTGCTGCCCAGAGGGGACTTTGCAGATCTTTCTTTTCTCTGCAAGTTACTCCCAGCTGAGGATGGCAGACTGGCACCTTCAGCCAGGGGGCTGAGCTGTTCTTGGTGGCAGCTCAAACACACTGGAGATGTCACTGCCCGCTGGAAGGGATGGTCAGAAAGGGAAGACTGAAATACAAAATATTACCTGGGATTTTAGAGACATGAGTTTGGCCCAGCTTTTCCTTGGACTTCCATTGTGAGAGTCTCAGCATCAGACATTTCATGTGAGTAGGAACATCTTGGAGGTCTTCAGTGCAAGGAATGTCTGTACAATACCTGACACAAAAGCAATGATACCTTGGAGGAACAGCCACAGGCTCCTCTGGAACCGTTGTGAGAATATTTCCAGTCACAATGGAGGGCTTGGTACCTTTCTGCTCCCATGAATGTCTAGGCTGTATGTGGACAGACACACCTGGGATGCACCAGGTGAAAGGAAGAGTTACTTGAATGTGCTCCTGAAGCAGCCCATCTATCCACACCTGCTCCAGAACCATCCAGGAGGATGGGTAGGCTGGTACCCACGATGTTTTCTGGTGCTGTCTGTCCATAGGATCCTGGATTTTCTGCATCAAGTGCTGAATCATCCTGGCCTTCTGGTGCTGTGAAATCTAGGATCAATCCAGCACATGGTGGAACAATGCTTCAGATCAATTCTCTTTACCAACAGATTCAGTTTTATTGTTATTCTTTTTTTTACATGATTCTTAGTGCATCATTTCAAATAAACTATCAAACTGTACAAAGAAACAGAGATAAAAGAAGAGGCGAAAAAGTTGAGAAGTTTTTAGTGTCATGAACTGTCATGGAAAACAGTAGTCCATAGGCTCTCAAACATTGAAGGTCCAAATAAATCTTATTTTGTTTGTTTAAAAAATGCTGCAAAATATAAACAATAAATGACTGTAATTAGCAGCTACAAGATCCTTCAAAACTGGAACTTGATTACTGTGAACTCACCTAGGGGAAAGAAAAGTAATCTGAGATAAAAGATCAAATGAAACAGTGAAATAAATAAAGTGTGGGAGGACAGTCGTGGCATTGAAATGCAGAGGAATCACTTCAGCAC